TGAAGTGACATACTTTTTTAGCTGACTTTCATTTCATTTAAAAGCTTGTGTTTGTTTTCCGTATGGAGTTCATGCTGACACGGTCCTGGAGACACCTTTCTCGGGTTCCGTTGCGAAATTCCTTTTCCCATTTGCCAACATATTATCAAGGCTTAGGCAGCTTCTTCCAGCGACATCATGCTTATGTCGATTCAGTGTTGGTTCAATTGGCTCACTCCTTCTAGATATTCATAAATATATATGATAGACTGTGTTCTGAGGATAAACCATAATACATAGTACCTTTTATTGTATTATATTACTATCATTTTTCTACATTATTAGGTCAATTTATTTTGCATTTTGGTCAATTAATATATGTTTAATGTGGTGTATATATATGCATACATATGCAGGCAAGTACTAAAATCCAGTAAATTTTTTGACTAGCAAGAACAGGGAATAACATGTTCATTCTGTCAAGGGTGAATAAATATTTTTTTGTCAAGGAAACAAATATTAGCGGAATTAAATAATTCCGGAAGCGCTCAATTTTGTTCGAGGTTATTAATCTAGCACGCGTATTTTCGATATGAGTCATTTTCAAAATTAAAAATAAATCTTAAATAAGAATTTAATCAGCCTAGTTTTCTAAGGGTGACATAATAACCCAATTGAATTTCCCCACAATCCCGACTCTCCAAGATGTGATGTAGTTCCAATTTAGTCAGGATCACACAAAATATAGACCTCGTTGATGTTACTGGAGCAGTTGAGATTATTGCAATACTGAAAGTAGCATTTACCTTAAATTACAAAGCGTATGTACCAGCCACTCTCAGACTCATCAACTCACTTGATTTCATTCTTGTTTTATGCCAACCTCTTTTTCCTTAGGGAATTGGTGATGCGACGAGATAAATTCCGCAACGGATTGAACAAGATTCTTGAGACAAATGACTTGGTGGCAAAGATGGAAGGCGAGCTGACAGCAATGCGGCCAAAGCTGGAACAAAAACAAAGGGACACAGAGGAATTGATGCTGAAGCTGAGCAACGACCAAGAACAGGCAAGTTCGACATGCAAATGTACCCCAAACGAACCACTCATCGGCACTTATTGTCGGACACAGCCAAGCGCCCACAAGCAGAAAGAGGCAAAACTTAATCTTCTTTTCACAGCAGTCCCAGTTAGAAGTTATAACTAGCCCAACACAATCATCATGGCCTTGGTACAATTGCAGTCTTCAATAGATTGTAGACGGAGGCACCTGAAATTACATAATTATTACTATATTTTCCAACTAAAGTCTGAGGACTATTGGACGGCCAGAGGTCCAGGATTACTAAGAACTTTGCTGTTCTAATTTAATATATTTCATTTTACCCCAATTTCCTCTACAGGCGGACATTGTCCGAAACCGAGTAAAGGAAGACGAGTTGGTGGCAAAAAACAAAGCCATGGAGACACAGGCGATCGCCGACGATGCTCAGCGTGATTTAGATGAGGCTTTACCCGTTCTTGAGGCCTCGAATCGGGCCCTCGATTCTCTGGACAAGAATGACATTTCTGAGCTGCGCGTCTTCACAAAGCCACCTCAATTGGTGCAGACTGTGATGGAAGCTGTCTGTTTGATGTTGGGGGCCAAGTAGGTATCACTTTGCTCATTCGCATAGGCTGAGACACTTTAAATTTTGCATTTATTGCCATTCGTCCCCAAGACGTACAATATAGGGTACATGACCTGGGACGGATTTATGGGATAAACGAGAAAAGAATGAGTGAATGTATCTTTGGTAAGTATAGACATGATGATGTGTATTGGGTTTTGTAATCATGCCGAAGGAGCACCAGGAGAAGAAGCGACCTAAAGCTACGAGGCAGAGTTGCGGCTTTGATTCTGTGTAGTCCAGAGTAAGGTCCCTTCTTTAGGGAGACTTTCATTTCGTTGAGCTTACTTCCATTTCGAGTGGGTGAAGAGCTTCGAAGGTCGGTTCCACCAGAAGACAACACCGAATTCCTCTTGACCAGCTGTCGAATGGCTTTACTGAAACATTCATGTTAACGCTGTTTCCGAGGTAATCTCCTTCGATTCCGGTGAAAAGGTACTAACCCTTCGTCCGTCCCATGACGAACAACATCAGAGCAAGGTGTCATCGTCACAACTAAATTCAAACAAACGAGTCAAGAAAACTCAAGTAAACTTTTCTTCGCATATGACTTCCATTTTGTATGAAAGTGTTTTAGGAAGAGATTCTCAGATTGATCTCACCAGAAGACGACGGCTGATTCCCATTGTACTGCAGCTGTACCCGCAGTTCGATGGACAACATCAGAGCTGAAACACATTCTTATAAAAGTCTCACGTTAACACTAGCCGGATATTCTTCTTGACCTGGTGTTAATGTGAAATTTCACAACAAAGAGTTCCATCTCTGAGGGTGTCCATCATATGATGGACAGAAGCTCAGCCCGTTTTCACCCGAAACGAGGGAGAAAGTCTCCTGGACTGCGTCAAATTGAACATCGCATTAAAACTAAACGGTTGCAATACAATGCGATTCATGCGTCCTCTTCTGCTGAGATCGATCTTAGAATCTCTTCTTCATGCCTGTTATCTCAGAAGATTTATCAAAACCCAGTTACACTTCGTATTTATAAGATCCCTTTGCTGCTGACGGGCAAACTGTTGAGTCTTTTTGCTTTATATGCGGACTGGTTTTCGAAAGTTAGTGAGACCGACCTTCCTCGAGCCGAGGCCTGACCGAGTTTGCCATGAAATAGGTGCAAATAAAATGTGTGAAGAATAGGCTGCAATGACACCAAGCACACGACCTTCAGGCAAGACTCTGTGAGGCAGTCTCCCTCACTCTGCCAAGTGGTCTACAGGATATACAGGTCGGCTTTTGATTGGCTCCAGACGATTTAGTATGCATTTTGTGTGGTACTATCTGGTGCAATTAAACATGAGTCACAGGTCTGGCTTTCGCGAATGTGAGGAGAATGTGAGTAGTGAATGTCCAACTATTTAAAATGATTCATTCGGTTTCTAATTCTTAATGTCAACGGCTATGGGAGGAGTCTATGCAAGAGCTGGGGGGAGGAATGGGATCTACCTTGAGCAGTGTGACTAAGCCGATGTAATAAGGCGAAGGAGCTGAGTCACACGGTTTTAGTCACTTTTCCCTACCTTTTCTCATTGATTGTTAATTTCATTACTTCACGAGTGCAGCAATTTTCAAGCCCGCAGTTTATATTAAGAACACAAATACACACCGGCCAAATTTATCTCCTACTTCAAGTCTACCTTTGTATCTATCCTATAGGAACCTCTAGAGTCAATCATAAGCCGAGATTATTAAAAAGAAAAGCACATTTATGGGGTGTATTCATCCTAGTTCGTTTAAGGTAATAAGTGAGTTGAAAGTTGAATTTTCCCACATTGATATCACGTTTCCATTGAATTTCACATAACCTTGATTTGACTAAAGGCATTCTCATCCAGGATGGACTGCCGTTTCGACCTCGCCCAGGTTTCATCAGCATCTCCCAGTGGAACCATACCCGGGCTGTAATGGTGAAGCTTATAATCTCGACAAGTTAATCACTAGGTAACAGTGCCACGATTGCCCTTGGGTTAGAAGGAAGATGTAAATTTCAAGGAAGGAAGAATACTTTTTGGGAAATATGATCTAATCGTGGTCTCGGAAGCCTAACTCTAAATAAAAAATAAGTAACATAGTTGACTGCTATAACAAATATACCTTCGTTTCTTCATCCCCCCCTCCTCCTCTACTTGAGAACATGATATGGGAAAAGTGCCTGGCCTTCATTGAAATTCGCATCTGCCCTTTGACCCAAGGGTACTCATGGCAATGTAGCGTAGTGGTTAACGAGCCGAAATTACACACTGCCGTTTCATGGTTAGAGTCCCGCTGGGGGTGTTGATAGGATCTAGGCGAAGTCGACAGTGCAGACTATTTCGGCTCATATGAAAAAACTTGTTGGAAAACAAGGCTATGTGAAATTCAATGGTCTACTCATGCCATTTTGTAAAAATTTAACTATCAATCCACTTATCCCCTTGAGCTAAATGGTATGAATACACCTCACTTATATGATCTAGTGGCAGTCTCAGAAGCCTACTTTTAAATGAAAAACATAATTGTTTAAACCAGTAAGACAGTCTGACGGACACTAAATATCAATGTGGCGGCTATCATTCGGGTCGGACAAGGTGTCTGAAAATCTTGGTACGGGATGAGCCAGTTAGTTTTATTGATTAGCTAGCTTAAATATACTTGAACCTCTGCTTATATACAAAAAAAAGCTGAAATATAGTCGTAAGGATGATGTCTGTCATAAAGCGGACGAAAGCTTAGCAAGTTTTTACCGGAATCGAAGGAGATTACCTCGAGAATGGCATCAACAAGAAGGTTCCATTAGAATATATCCACAGCTGGTCTGATGTCGTCTTCTGGTGGGATCGACCTTCGAATCTCTTTACCAAACACTTTCACTCGAAATGAAAGTAGGCTAAACAAAACAGAAATAAACAAATACACCAGATAGTCTTAGCTTGTGCATGCTAGCTTTCATTTTTTTTTGTTTAGACAAATCTAAAAATAACTAGGGGTTCTAAATCGTTGCAAGCCATTTAGGCCAGTTGAAGTATAACTGTACTCACCTTATGTCGCACAAGTTTGTCAAGGATTTATTGTTAAATTTTAGCACAACTATATTGTAGAGACTTCATCCAGATTAACTAGACCGCAATTTCGACCTCGCTTTGCTTTCATCCTCACCTCAGGTGGGAATCGAACTCGAGCAAAGCAGCCTTCATTTTCGATATGTTGCCACAACTCCACACTGCAACGAATGCCGGTGGATCATAGGCCAGCCAGGCCTCTTCCATATCACATTTTTCTAGTGGGGCGGTTGGTGAAGCAAATTTGCATCCTGCTGACTAAATAGATTGAATTACTTAAATATTCAATTCACATTTAAGATCTCATGCTAGTATCGAAAACCACTCTAGTTCAATATAAGTAGTATAATATATTACAACAACATATGCACTCTGCTTCATGTACAATCCGACCGTAAGATTTTCATATAGGATTGGCTTTGCTGAGGACTCGGCCTGCCGTTCAGGTAAGGTAGACACATTTATACTTAATTTTTTTACCGGAAAATGTATTAGAATATTTTCTAATAATTTACTTGAATTTATGCTACTTACAAAGGCCACCTTATGTTTGATCCCTTTCCTATAAGTTTTTGCAGAAATAGTAAATTGCAGTCTCCATCACATCTGGGTCTCATTAGCACGCCCAACCAGAATCGAATCTGTCTCGTGCATGTGAATATGAGAAAGCCTTTTTAGGAAACAGGACTGAATGAGGTTCATTTTTATTGCGAGGCTTTTCCATTTCATTGGGGAAATGTCAATTCCAACCCTTACATCGCCTATGCTGATTATAATTCGCATTTAAGTTCTACTAATGATATTGGATTTTAATTAATACGAGAATAAGTGGTGCAGTCGACTGCAAAGGCAACTCGAGTCTGTTTCACCAAAAATATTACTATATCGTGGGTTGTCTGTATATTATGGCCTAACAATGGTGTAGGCTACAGACAATCAGTTCTCTGGTAATTACTGCTAAAATCTAATTAGCATAAATAACATTTCTCTGTGTTTTTTACCCTTTTCATCCCCTTCTACTTTCTGCTTCAGACCTGACTGGGCTTCGGCCAAGCAATTGCTAAGTGACGGCAACTTCCTGAAGCGTCTTGTCGATTATCCCAAGGATGACATTTCGGACGGTCTGTTGAAAAAATTGAAGAAGTACATAGACAACCCAGACTTCCATCCTGATATCGTCGAGAAGACCAGCAAGGCCTGTAAATCAATGTGCATGTGGGTACGAGCTCTTGACCTGTACGCGCACGTATATCGCACTGTGGAACCGAAGCGGAAGCGGTAGGTTTGATCTGAAGGAATTTATATAAATTTGACCTTGGCTGACCTTGCATTAATTCTTAACTCTGGCCTTTTTGGTGTCCAAAAGGTAATTTCTATCCTCCGATAGTCCCTTTCAGTGGTCTCAGAATTGTGCACAGCCTGTTTTAGTTGTATAGTGGTAGACAGACCTTGTGGAGCATATCTATTCATGTTGGTATGATAATTTCCAGCTTCGGACCGTTGATTTGGTACATTTCCAGACGGTTCACCTGCATCTAATTCAGCGTAGAAAGCGAGAGATGATTTATCTTCGGATTTTAAGTAGATTTTTGAGACTACCAGTAGCACATATATATATGCGATGTATTCACTCTGTTTCTTTAAGATGATGAAAGACATGTTTAGATCTCATGCCTCCATTAAATTTCACATAGCATTGCTTCCAAAAAGGCTGGATTGGACAACAGTTTAGATCTCGCATTGACTGGTCTCATCCGCACTTTCAGCGGGACTCGAACCCAGGTTGTACTAATGCAGCGTATAATCTAGACACGTTAACCACAAGATAACAAGGATAAGGTGATTTTAAGGATGCTTATGTCTTTCACATACTCCATTTCTGTGGTGGAATTGTCGACGGGGCAAATTTGTATCTGCCATCAAAATCGTTAACATAATTATATTTCGTGTGCATATAGATTTGTGAGACTAGCAATAGTTCTTAAATAAGAACTGTATCTAACCTATTTGGTGTAAAATGATGAAAAACTGGTATAGAGGTTGCTTGACCTTGCTTTCGCAACTTGGTCATATTGGTAGGAAGACTTAGAGGAACGCACCTAGTTCGGAGTCCACTGTCTGCATGATCATTTCCAA